TTTTTTTTTTTTTTTTTTTTGGTTTTTGGTTTGTTTGTTTTTTGTGATTTTTTGTAGAGAAGAGGTCTCACCAAGTTGCCTGGGCTGGTATCGAACCCGCAGACTCGGGCATTCCACTCACTTCGGCCTCCCGAAGTGCTGGGATTACAGGCTGAGTCACAGCACCTGACCTAAAAGCACCTATGTTTCAAGCCCTGCGTTTTATTTTATGGAGCCTTTTTACAAGCTCCAATAGGACAGTGCACAGCTGTGAGTTCTAGAGAAAATCATAGCTCCTCCTGCAGTAACTGTCCCCATTTGGAAAGTAGCTACTGGTTTGTCACGGGCCCTGGTAGACTTGGATGCCCGGCCACGGGACACCAAGAGCACTGGTACCTGAACTGACATCATGTCCTGGCACTGTCTGAGCTCCCAGCCATGACATGTGGCCTGCACAGTGGTGTCCATCATCATGGGCAAGGTGTGTATGGGACCAGGCTCAAGCAGGTCCGAGGGCACAGGTGATGCTCCAGTGGGGTCTGCCCCCTGCCTCTTACTCCACCACACCTATGTGATCATAGGAATCCCCTGTGACCTCCTTACATAGGAGGAAATGCAGACCAGGCTTAGGGATGCATCCTGGTGGTAAGCTGGCCCCAGGCAGTAGTGGACAGCAACTGTGTTGATGTCCATTCAAATGGCCCTGAGAAAGTAATGTAGGAAGCCCTTCAGGTGGGCGGAGTGTCAAGGGTCCAACTAGGGTGGAAGAAGGGATGGTGTTAAGTTCCCTTCTGCATGGACCACATGGTCAAGGACCTGAAAAGAATTAAGGATGAACCTGAGAAAGGGAGGAACAGTGGATGTCCTCTGGTGATGGGCACAGAGTGTGGGTTGCTCTGTTCCAACCTTGTGTCCCCAGACACATGCTCTGAGGAGGAGGTTGCTGACCTTGAGTGGACAGTGTCTGGCAGCCTCTGTTCCCATCAGAGCTTGCTCATAGGGTCCGGGTGCAGATGGCCACATGGACTGGGGTGGAGGCCATGGACCTATGACAAATGGGCAGAGTTGGCCCCACTGCCCTGCCTATGGACCATCCTCAGGACCCACCCAGTGCAGGCAGAGGCCAGTGCTAAGCCCTTGGTAGGGCATCATTTTACAGCAGCACTCTCTGGCCACTGCAGGTAGGCTGAGTACACAGGACATGGCTCATCATGGAGGGGACTGAGCTGTATCGCACAGGGATATACTCTGCAGGTTCCAATTTGTCTTTCCTGGACTCAGCTCAGTGTTTCTGTGAACACTGCCATACCAGGACTAGAGAATGTCTTTCCGGTTGCTATGGTATCCTGCATGGTATTGCTTCACTAGGGGACACATCTTATGGCTAAGGAAGTGAGGTAACCAATCCATACCCATGCAGTCCATAGACCTTCCAGATGCCCACTCCACGGGACAGTGGGCTTCTCAGAATGGTGGGATGGTCCATGGGTGGCTTATCAGGGAAGAAGGCAGAAACCATACCCTGCCATCCAACAGGAAATG